TCTACAGCAACAGCACGACACACACTGCGTACCGCAGTAGTAGCACGAGAGAGTACTTGTACACACACACGACAACTTGTTTCTGACAGAAAAGCGCGGTTGGTTTCACGCAACAAGACAAAACACAATACACCGCAAACTTGCCGCACGTCCCTCGGATCAGCGGGGCCACAAAAACAACATGCACGTATGACTTCTGTACGAGGAAAAAAACTAAAAAATGTACACGCCCAAGTAGCAAACAACTCCCGCCCAAGCAGCAAACACTATATGTATCCCGATTCGGAATAAACACGGTCGCACCACGTGGCTGACCATCGAACCGAACAAACCGCAGCATTCTCCACTCCTTTGTTGTAGACTATCTAGAAGGCCAAAGCCCCCGTCAACCCCTCCTCTAACCTTATAACCCACGCGGTACCCCGCCCTCGAACTTTCAACTCCTAGTATCGCTTGACAGACGACGGCACACACAGAACGCTGCTCTCTCCGATCGCACTTTGCCAGACAGGCCAGGTCGCAGCACGACATCAAAGACAGCCTGCCAATACCACCAGCCGGTCCGTGCGCGGTGCAGCTACGGAGCCCCCGCTCTTGTTGGGGCAAGGGGGCCACGCAGATGCAATGCTGCTCCAATACTCGGTAAGGCCGAAGTCGTGAGTTGGGGTAGACGGGTGGTCTATTTGAAAGGATTTTGGTGGGGTACACTAAAACCAATACTTAGATTGTATAGGGTTTATTATGGCCACACTTACACCTATACACCTCCGTCGTGTATTGGTTGAAGACTGTGATACTAACGCCCATACAATAGACAGTACGTAGGTTTTACTATTAAGCCCTATACCATGCAAAACTTCCATCAGCACATGCCAAGCAACAGGTGAGGCGGGGGAGGCGGCCGTAAGTTCCTGCATGCACTCCACAGGCCCCCCTCGCGTCGCGGCGCGTGCGCGCGGGTCCCCTCCTCCCACCCGCGCCCCAGAGAGAGAGAGAGCGAGAGAGGGTTTGGCGTTGCCCATCAGCAAAATTCACACTCGTTTCCCGGTGCGCACAAATCTCTCTCCGCACGCACTCACTCAACCATGCTTCCCCTTACGAGGCGTAGCCTGCCGCCGCGGCACGGTGGATCAACCCCCCCCCCCCCCCTCCCCCGCCTGCAAGAGCGCCAGCCCCGGCCCCAAGCTCACACCGTCGACTAGTCCTTGCCCCCACCTTCCCCTGGCTGTTGCTCCGCCGTCGCCGCCGTCGCCGCCACGGCGAGGTCCGTCTTGGAGCCGAGGTGGAAGAACCCGTCGGGCCCCGCTCCGTCTAGGTCGAACGACAGGGCGTGCTGAGACAGGGAGGCGTCTCCCTCGAGTCCGATGGAGGCCACGCTCGCCATCGAGGCCGACCTCGAGAACTTCGCCTCCGCGGGGGCGGTGGCGGGGAACGGTATGTCGTACAAGGTTGTGTGCATGCTGCTGCTCCTGCCGCCGCCGTCGTCCTCGTGATTGTTGGCCGCTCCTTCGCAGGCGGAAAAACCCCACAGCGATCTCCAGCCGCCGCCGCCGCCGCGCATCGTCGGCGAGGAGGAGGAAGCGGCAGAGGCGCGCGACTGCCGCTGCTTCGCGTCCGCCTCGCAAGCCGCCACCGCCGCCGCCGCCGCCGATACGGGCGACGCCGCCGCCGGTCGCCGCCCGGCTGCGTCGCCGCCACCGCCGCCGTCGCGGTTGTACCGCAAGCGTTCTTCTTCGTCTGGGACGGAGGAGATGGATGTCCGGGGAGACGAGAAGCCGCTGCTGCCGCCGCTGCCGCCGCCGCCGCCGGCCATAGAGGTAGTCGGGATGTCTACAGGGGCGGTGCCGGTGCCGATGGAGGGGCTGGGGATGTCTGCGGGGGCAGGGCCGGTGCCCGGCGGGAAGAGGCCGTTGACGGGGGTGACGGTGATCCCCTTGCCGGCGTAGACGCCGACCACGTTGAGGGCCACGCCACAGCAGGCGTTCGCGTACGCGAGAGTCATGCGCAGGGGTTGCATGATGGCGTCCATGCTCGCGGCGACGCTGTGGCAGCCCTTGCGCCGCAGGAAGGAGGTTACGCACTGGCACCTGCCGCGCCGCAAATTGTTTTGTTAACAAGGATGAACACGCGGAAGAGGCGAAAATACTGGTATGGTTGAGACACCCAGCGACCGATGGGAATCGAAGGAGAAAACACAACTTACGCGTTGGCAACTGCCGGTTTACTAGTAGTATCACGCATGAGCACGCG